TGACGACTCGTGATTTGGGTACATCGAGTTTAAACGAAGTGAATTCGTGATTGAGATCATCAAAATGAACGACCCTAAATTATAATATTAATCATAAATCAATTCACTTTAGAATATGTGATATAAATATAAAATACATATTAATTGATTACATGTATATAAATTTATAATTAATTTGAATGTTATGTAATATATAATATATATATAGCAATAAAAACGAATTATATAAGAGTTTTCAAACGAATTGCAACGTAAAATATTATACCAACTAATAAATCTACTTCTATTATATTATGTACCTAAAAAAATATCGTTATACACTTGTATCCGTATAACGTACTAAAGTAATTCACAATCCAAACAACATTCCATCTAGCTAACAGTCAGCAGAAGAAAATGGTAAACCCATTTTTTATGACGTTGTACTTGTAACCAATGGTCCAATTCGATCTTAAAGTACACCGGAATCAATCATGGTCTTTTAAGTTTTAACAGCAGTATCCCAAAAAAACATTTTAATATCATACTTTTACTTGTTATCTGGTTAAATTTTAATTCGTGTAAAATTTTCTGATTTTTAATACATGTAAAGTTTTATTATTATTCTTAGTTTATATTACTTTAATATTTTATAATGTCATCATTTGGATGTATTTGAGGCCTAATGTGTTGTTATACTATGTATAGATCAAATTTTTCTGTGAGGTTATGTTGCAGTGAGTACTCGATGTAGCTGAATGCTTCTCACATCAAAGTTATTTAACAGATTTTGTTGTTCACGTATTAAAGAAATACTCAATAATGTTAGCTTTTTATTGTATGATTTCCTCCATTAGAGAACTCTCCTTAAAACTCTAAATTATTCCACCGAGAAATCAAAGTCTTTCAGTTGAACTGTTGTTGATCATGTACAGTATAGGTTATGATTTTCTAATTTCTGAATCTAGATAACTTCATTAGTACCCTTTTATGAACTGGTTTTCTGAGGTTGCAAAGTCAATTTTTTATTTCATAAAATAACAATCCACGGAAAAGGAAAAAGGAAAAATGAGCAATTAGTTATCATTGAGGAAAATGTATCACAATTGGGAAATTTAATATAATTTTGACATTATATAGCTTTTAGTTTGTACAGAAAGTTATTGAGAGAAAGATTTAAATGGTTATGTTAAATAGAGGAAACAACTGACTACAAAAAGTATATTTCCATTGCAGGCCATACTCACCTATCCGGATATTGGTGGATTTATTTGAGTGATGTTTCTTTTATAAAACTTGACACCCTTTGCATTGTTGCGGCCATGGGAGGGAGGTCTAATCTTCGATATGAGCATTTTAGGTCAAAAATTTTTGCATGCACTTCAATATTTTTTTTGTACCATATCTTAGATCCTAAAATACCTGTGTGTTTATATAGCCAACTCTACCCACAGAGTAAATCTTGGTTCCATTTGTATGTGCAAAGGGACATGCACATGCATATGATTGCACACTTCTTATTTCTGTTTCATTCAGGCTGTTGGGGTATGAAATGGATTGATTCTATTGGAAAGTTTGGAGTTACTTCCATGGATCCTTTAGTAAAAGAAATCTTTATTTTTTTTTGTACATTTTTGTTTATGATCGAAGATAACAAACTTAATATTGGTTGAAACAATCTATACTGTAAATAGTCCAATGTAAACAAAGATTTCATTGTTGCTATATTTTGTGTGGCTGCTCTTTTAGCATCTTGACAGCTTCAACGGTAATCAAAAAGCTTGAAAGGAAACTACCTATTCGTTTTTTTTTTTTTTTTTTGGACTTAATTCTCTTTCTTTCTTCCTTTTCCTTTTCTGCACTGGTGCAATCCTCAATGGCTTTGTTGAAAACGTAACGATGCTTTGATGAAAAAAATTTTTGTTTGCTATTCTTCTATTCCTACACCTTAACCGCTGGGCTAAAGAAGCATATTGAATATACAATCTTTATAGGATGACTCCATCTTCTCATAGTTTAAGACAAAAAGTGTCAAGGATTTAAATGGCTAATTTTTTTTTTGTCCAGATATAAATGGCTAATTTGCTAGCACTACAAACAACAAGAAGCTAAAGGAATAAAAAATTGAGAAAGATAACAATTACACATTAACACTTTTGATTCTGATGTAAACGTTTATATGAGAGTATAATGCTGACTATTAAATGAACTTGATAAATATAAGAAGTCTCAAGACTCTATTTTTAAAAGATATATAATTTAGAATCTCTATAATGTCTTGGCATACCGTACAGTTTAAGTTATAACAGATAATAATTCAAGATGGTGTATTTGACTAACAAAGTGCAAAGTAAGTTCTCTCTGGTTTTTCGAAAATAGATGGATAATATTTCTTTAAAAAATTATAAGGGTTAGATGTAACATGGATTCATCAGGTCGAGCCTGTAAAATGGTTCACGTACAAAGCACGTGTGCATTAACTAATAAGTTTAAAAGTGACTAGTTTTGGGAGATAAGTTTTTTAGGGAAATGATTATGATAAAAAGTTTCAACCGCAGCTGTTGGATCAATGATGAAACCCACTGATTCAACAGATGCAAGTGATTTGACACAAGTTTTGGTGCACAGTTTTAGATTATCTCTAGCCCTTACCATTTTTTGTATTCAAATTTAAATTTGAGTAAAAAATAGTCTAAAATGTTTCTCCAATGCTAGATTCATACCCATATCAAATGAAGAGAAATCATTTTTTAAACCCAAATCAAATGAGAGCCTTTTTTAAACCCAAATTTTTTAATGGTGAGATTATACACTCTTTTAAAGATCTAATTGTCATATTTTACTCTATTTTAATTTTGATTTTCTCTTCATTTAAATTTGAATTTCTCTTTCTTTAAATTTGAATTTCTCCATTGAAAAGGTCTATAGAAAATGAAGTTTTTTACTTTTTTGTACTCTAATTTGGGTAAGGATTTGAGTTTTCATTGGAGATGCTCTTAATGCATATAGAATTGCTATTTATATTTTAATTTTTTAAATATAATAAATTTACTCACTTATATTTTAACAAAAAAAAAAAAGACAATTGAATTGGGTTTAGAGGTGCAGCTCGGGCGGGTTGAGGGGTTAATCATAATTTAACATTAGGTATATAATTTTTAACTCTAACTCTAACCTTAACCTGAGTACTGTTCAAGTTAAATTCAAATAGGTTCGAGTTGAATTTAAGTTACTTAATTCGAATTGCTTTCAATTAAAATTCGAGTTAGATTTGTTCAAACTCAAAATTGGTCTATTTTTCTAAACCTGATACATTCAAACACACCACGAGAAATTTAAACCAAAGCACTACAACCACTACCACAAGGACCACACCACAATTATTACCCACTGCCATAAATTTTTTTACAAAATCTGAAAATGAACCGCACCATACCATAGACTCTGCCCACTGCAAAATCTGGAAATGAAATTTTACAAAATCTGAGAGATCTATGAAGGTCTGAATGGCACAAATCTAAGAGATTCAAAAAGCGCAGATCTCAGATCTGATGAAGATCTTCACTAAGTGGCACAGATCAGAGAGATCGAGAGTGAAAGTCTGAGTGAGGCGCAGATCAGAGAGGCGCAAATAAATATCTTCGGTCAATCATTGATGGTGATTGAGTGTCGAGATTATGAGAGAGGTTGAGAGACTGAGAGAGGGAGGTGTCGGAGAGAGTGAGGGTTTGAATGAGAGAGGTGATCATTGAACCTAGTTAGATTTATACATTTACTAGTTATAATCCCTACATAAAAGGATGATGATAAAACATAAAATTTGATCCTTTAAAAATTAAGCTTACTATACTAAATAATAATTTTTTATTTCTTCATTTATTTGATACATCATTTAAAATTAATTTTAATTAATTTTTAAAAAATAACATCAAAATTTTTTTAAAATGTATAACCCGACAAATTTTTTTTAACATGTGTATATTATCATGTATGAATAATAATTATGTTAAATTATAAATTAATTAAATATTAAATAATTAAATATGTGATAAAATTGGGTGATGAGATGATTTTTTTGGAAGAGGGTGAATATGTGTGAGATAAAAATTCAAACTCCTAGGTGTTTTATTAAATAAGTTTTTAAATATGTTCGGGTTGAATTTGATTTATAAATTCGGGTTAAACTTGGCAAGTCGAGGTCTCTACTTAGGTACTTCCTCAATTAAATTCGAATTGGTGATTTTTTACCTAGGCCCAATTCAAATATTAAAATTTTCAATCTAAATCTTATTTTTTCGGATTTGATTCGGGTGTAATTCAAATTGGCCTACCTAATTACACCCCTTATTGAGTTTGTTTAATTTGCTCTATAATAAATCTGAATTAGAAGTTGATCAATGTTATATAGACTTAAAAATAAGGAGAAAATATTCAGTACTTGACAGGTAACAGATTGTCATTGACAGTTGGTATTCATCACCAATCAACAAATATCACCTCAAGATAGGAAATAGAGAGAGAAAAATTGAAAAAGAATCTACATTGATATGACATTTCTTGATTTGTGATGAGTATCAGTTGTTAATGACAGTCTGATACTTGACAATGACAGAATATGAAGTGACACCTGTTGATCGGTAATGAGTACCAGCTGTCAATAATAGTCTGATTCTTGCCAAGTATTTTTTTCAAAAATTTGACTTGGTAATTATAACCACTAATTTTATTGTAAATCTTAATATTTATTCAGACTTATTATTTATTCAATAATTTAATTATTAAATTTAATTTTTACGTTTAATTTTTAAATACACGTAGCTTTACTTTGTAGAGGTTAGAACCACCGGAGCGAGAGAGAGAGAGAGAGAGAGCTCAGATCGACGACATGTAAGACTACTTTTTCAATCTCCACCGTCATCGCAGAGAAAGCCATATTCCCATAAGCCTGAATTTAGGTCTCTCTCTCCATCTGTTTAAAGAACTCATTCAATCTGCAGATTGTTCTCTCTCTTCTGCGTACAATGTCAGCGAAGTCACCCTCCGTTTATGGCGCAATTCCCACCACCTCCGCCAGCCCCACACCCACCTCCAATATCAGACGCCCGCCACCACTACCACCACCGTCCGATTTCTTCTCACGCGCCAAAGCCAAGATTGCCACGGCCCGCCCCTGGAAAGAGCTTCTCGATCCCACCTCCTTCTCCCTCCCGTACAGCTATTCGGAAGCCATGTCTCGTATTCGCCGAAACTTGGGTTATTTCCAAGTCAACTACGCAATGGTAATGCTGCTTATCCTCTTTCTTAGCCTCATATACCACCCTTTTTCCATGATTGTCTTCTTGATAGTTTTCATAGCCTGGTTCTCTTGTACTTCTTTCGCGAGGAACCCCTTGTGTTGTTTGGTAGGATCGTAGATGATAAAGTTGTTTTGGGTGTGCTGGGTTTGGTTACTGTGATTGCTTTGGTGTTCACTCACGTTGGATTGAATGTCTTGGTATCTTTGATCATTGGGGTTGTTGTAGTTGGGTTACATGCGGCGTTTAGGGTATAGAGGACTTGTTCTTGGATGAGAATGAGGTAGCTGAAGGTGGGTTGCTTTCGTTTGTTAGTGGCGAGCCAATGCGACCGGCTTATACTCGGTTGAATTGAATCTTCTGATGGGTGTTTCAATAATGCAATTTGGTTTTAAGTTAAGGGTTTGGTGTCAATTCTTGGGGCTCTGGAGTTGGATGCACAAAAGGCGATATTGGTTCTTTCTTGTTGTGTTGCAATCGGCTGAATGATCTCAAGGATCTTGGTATTCGTAATCAAATTATGGTGACCCCGTCTGTATTTTGGCCATTTTTCATGTTCTTTTGGATTGTTGGTGTTGAATTTGTAGTGTAATAGGGCAGACAAATATTGCTGACACAGTAGGCAAAATTGGGTATCTGGTGGTTTGCGGTCTCAACCGGTGAGGGGATTTGTCCTTATTTATTTCTGCTTTTGGTCGAATTTCCAAGGCTTATAACTTTGTTCTACTCGTTGAATTGTTATCACAGCTTTGTTGTTTTTTTGGTACAGGCTTAGTTGAAAATTTTATAGTGTAAAGCATTTGTTATTAAGGTACTATTATATATATGTTGATTATGTGTGGCTGCGTGCTTTAATT